GATCCATGCAAGCCACTATCACACCGCTTTAAACAGTCATGGCTTCCCTCAAAGAATCCTGGGAACTGTTGATGCCAACTGTTGAACTGTTAAGGCTGCTGAGAGTTTTTAGGAGATCCCCATTCTCCTCCCAGAGTTGCAATTACAGGAGTTCCCTGGGAAAAGAAACATTTTTGCTTCGACAAGTCTACCAGGTGTTTCAATTGAGTTGAGATTTCTGCATTGCAAGGGGTTGGACTAGATGACCCTTGGGATCCCTTCCTATTCTACAATTCTGTGGTGTGAATTTTAATCTGGTTTTAGTCTCTTTTTTTATATTTACAATGATGTGGTATATACCGTATTTTTCAGTGTATAAGACACCCCCATGTATAAGACGCTCCCTATTTTTTTGAGCCCAAAATTAAGAAATAATTAATTGCAACATTCTGTGTATAAGACGACCCCTGATTTTAAAATTTAAAAAATTGTGGAAAAATATAGTCTTATACACAGAAAAATACAGTACGTTTTCTGAAATAAACACTAAAATGTATCAAGAAAGCATGCAGTAGCTCCAAGGATTGGGCCTTACCTCTCCCCTCTTTGCACCTTAAGCATTCAAGAAGAGAAGGTGCACATCTTTGGAATCTGACATGTGGCTGTATTAAAAGTGCACCACTTGCTTTGGGGGTTGTCTCCCTCAGAACCTGCTCGCAGAGAGGCATGAGTTAGTTGTGGGGATGTCAGGAGGAGGAAACAGAAGCAACACTGCCTATGTCCCTCCACACTGGTGATGCCAGATTTCCTTCTCTCCGGACTGCTTGCTTCTGGTATGCACAGCCCAAGCCATTCACTGTGTGTGCCAATGTACGTGAATGTAGAATCTAGGGGTCACCTAGATTGTAGGATGTTGCAGCCTAGGCAGAAGCAAGGGTAGGAACTGAGGACAAACTATTTATCCAACTCTCTCAGTATTGTCTATTCTGGGACCAGGGAGATAGCCTTACCCTGTATATGTCCACTTGACTGCTTCAATTGGCAGAACTGGCACTGTGAAACATAATAACCATTCTGCATTTGTAAGCACTTACATTTGGGAACTCTTTCCCTGTTGACATCAGTCAAGAGCCTTCACTATACTCTTTTCAGCACCTGCTGAAAACATTTTTGTTTGGACAAGCCTACCCAGATACCTAGGATGCGGATGTGTTTTTAGTTTATTTATTTTTTGTTTAGTGTTTTAATTGTTTTTACAAATTGTTTTATTGTTTTATTCTTTTTTGTAAACCGCATTGAGGTTTTTACTATCAGGCAGTATATCAATTTTATGGAACACAAATCTTCTGCCTGGCAGCAGTTATCCAGGGTCTCAGGAAGAGGCAGGTCTCTCCTAATCACCTACTATCTGTTTGAGGGGTTTGAATCTGGGACCTTCTGCTTACAAAACAGTGACTGTTCCATGGAGTTGTGCTCCCTCTCAAAAGGATTTGTCTGCATGAACCAAGGTTGGATGGATATGTCTGTTTTCGCTGCACATCGGTTTCACATCTGTTCATTCATAAGTCAATTCCATCCTGTTTCTGTATAATTTGCTCTAAGAAATCTGTACCCAGATTGTATTTAAATAGGATTTTATCGCAAAAATATGAATTCAAGTCCTTTTTTTTTATCTCAATGTATTCATTTCTAAATGAGTTTCATCCTAAAACACACACATATTAATGCATTTTTGGATAGTTCCCCCCTTGAGTTGGGCAGCGTATCGCTAAATTCTCAGAAGTGAGAAATTCGATGGATAATTGCATTTCTTTCTGCTCATTGGTCTGAGTGGTAGGAATTGGGGCTGTTGGCATCAAAATGTCCAGAAATCAAATTCCTCTTACATATAGCTACATAGGATGCAAATTAAGGATTAATTGGTTCCATGTTTGTGTTTTTTATATGTAGAATTGTTATGGCTCCAGTCCTGAAAACAGTCTTAAAGGTAAAGGTAAAGGGACCCCTGACCATTAGGTCCAGTCGTGGACGACTCTGGGGTTGCAGCGCTCATCTCGCTTTATTAGCTGAAGGAGCCGGCATACAGCTTCCGGGTCATGGGGCCAGCATGACTAAGCTGCTTCTGGCAAACCAGAGCAGTGCACGGAAATGCAGTTTACCTTCCCACCAGAGCGGTACCTATTTATCTACTTGCACTTTGATGTGCTTTTAAACTGCTAGGTTGGCAGGAGCAGGGACCGAGCAACAGGAGCTCACACCATCGTGGGGATTCGAACTTCTGATCAGCAAGCCCTAGGCTCTGTGGTTTAACCCACAGCGCCACCCGCGTCCTAACAGTCCTAACTCCACTTAAATTCTAATGCTTAGCCCTCAGCTCAGTTCAAAATTAGCTCAAAGTTTATGAGCTTTCTCAGTCAGTGCTGACTTTAAAGAACCAACACACACACACACAAGCTTCACATTTGTTTTTTTGTTTTTTTTGAAATTCCCCTCATGGCATGGAATGCCTGTTTCTGCACATTGATGGTGCCTGATATGGGTACCGTACTGTATTGCATTGGGGCAATTGGGTCTCCAACCACAGCAGACAGATGCCTGGAGATTGAGCCATTATCTCCTTCTGAAACAAACATAGGAACAAGAAAAGATTTTAGGTGTACATGAAGGACAAAAACTGGAGGTTTTTAAAACAACAACAACAATGTAGAAAGCTTTTCAGAGAATTGATGCGACAAGGGTGTGTGTGTGAAGACTCTCGAAAAGGTTTGCTTGGTCAGGGACAGTGCTAACAGAGTTAAGAGAGTGACAGTCTAGGTTTAACATTAAAGGAATTACTGCATGCATCTGCAAAGCAGCTGGCTTTGCAATTCACATAAACTCACAAAAATAGACTTGGAGATTTCACTAAGAGTAGGGAATTTTAGGGGTATTCTGGGCATGCTTTTACAAAGCAGGTGGCTTTCCCTTCCGGTGAAGGACTCATCACATATGAGCAGAGTCTCATTCTCTGTTCTCAGAACCTTTTGGGGAAATGGTGCTTAATTTGTCATGTTGGCCAAGCATGGAGAATTCTTAAACCAAAACAGGTAATTATGAACTTTGATGGCATCACTACTGAGCTTATGTGAATCTGTCAATCTGGTTTCTCCCAGTTTCTGCCCCCCCCCCCCAGTTTTAACTTCAGTTCTCCACATGTCCACTTCAATTTGAAAACTTTTACGTGCTCATGAAAATTCATCAGGATTTTAGTGAAAATTTCTAAAGGACACATTTTGTGATGCAATTGTGCCTAATATACCCAACTTTGCAAAACATTTCCCCCTGATATTAAGCATTTGTGTATATCATTTTCACTAACCTATGCATTCTTTTGCATATTTTATCTTAGTATATGCATTTTTTGTACACTTGGCTGGAGAACTGCACTGCAAAATTCAGAGAACGGTGTTTCTTTTGAAGCATGGCTGTGTTTTGATTCACATGTTGTTTCAGAAAGTGCAATTGTGGTGTGTTTGTCTTGAAATACAAACCACATTGCATCCACACTATGTCTTGCATCCCTTGCCCAGCCAGTCCACAAAGTCAGCCCTGTGGCTTACCTTCTGAAACTCTCTCAATAGCAAATGAGAGGCCAGTCTAGTTCCCTGAAATCATGTTGCCTTTTCCAGTCAAGAGCCCAATGTTGCAACTAAAATCTTAAGGAAAGTTTCTCTGGGAAACCTCTGGCCAACGGTAGCCATAACTAGAATTCCTCTAGATTGTGGGGCCCTACCAACATGTTACTTCAAAAGGATATAGTTATTGTTCCTCCCTAGAGTTACCCCAGAAGCAAGTATTCTTGCCCTTAGTACCCAAGAACACCAGAGGAGCCTACTGGATCAGGCCAGTGGCTCATCTTGTCCAACATCCTAGTCTCACTGTGGTTTCTCTACCCTCAATATATGTATTTATTTATTATTACATTCATACCCCACCTTTCATCCAAGATGCTCAGTGTGGAGGTACGGTTCTCTCCTTTCCTATTTTATTCTCATGCCAACCCTGTTCAGCAGACCAGGTTGAGAAATGTTGACTGTCCCCAGCTCACCTGGTGGGCTTGATGACTGAGTGGGGATAGGAACCTTGACTTCCTAGATATTAGTCTGATACACTAACCATTACACCACTGTGGCTCCTCTGTGCGTGTGTGCGCACATGGTCCAGTATACCTGAAGAAGCATCTCCACCCCCATTGTTCTGCCTGGACACTGAGGTCCAGCGCCGAGGGCCTTCTGGTGGTTCCCTCGCTGCGAGAAACCAAGTTACAGGGAACTAGGCAGAGGGCCTTCTCGGTAGTGGCACCCGCCCTGTGGAATGCCCTCCCACCAGATGTCAAAGAGAACAACAGCTACCAGACTTTTAGAAGACATCTGACGGCAGCCCTGTTTAGGGAAGCTTTTAATGTTTAATAGACTATTGTATTTTAATGTTCTGTTGGAAGCCGCCCAGAGTGGCTGGGGAAACCCAGCCAGATGGGCGGGGTATAAATAATAATAAATAAATAATTATAATATTATTATTATTGCATCCATTTCTATCTCTGAAATGAATACCGCGTCTGTTGAATGAAATACCATTCCTTCCTGACACCAGCCAAGCAATGAGTGACGTTTTCCTTAAGGAAACAATCTCTGGTTCTTTCACCACAAATAAGAACACCAAGTCCCAAAGGGACAACTTGGGATTGTGATTTATTTTAATGTTAGGCGGTGCTTAATCATAAAGACCAGATTGAGGATTTGAGTCATGCAGGCTGGGAGGTGCAGACTGAAGAACTTGCATGTTCTTCAGTCGAGGCTGTCCTCCTGCCTCCTTCACCACAGATGACTTCGTGGTCCTCTCCTCCTGCTCAACGCCATTTCGAAACAAAACACAGCCCTGATCCTTGGGTTTCAGAATTACTAGCGGCAGAATTAGTAATTCGCTAGTAATTCTACACCGGCTGACAGTGGCTCTCTGGGGTTCCAGACAGGGAGTCTCCTCAGCCCTCCCTGGAGATGTTGGGATTGAACCTGGGACCTTCTGCATTCAAGGCAAATGTTCTACCAGTGAGCTATGGCGCTTCTTCATCTCCTATGGTGTCTCCATGTAGAACTGCCAAAGACCCCTATGAAAGAATTGCTGTCAGCCAGTGTGGGCAATATTGAGTGTGATGAACCAGTTATCTAATTTGATACAGTGGTGCCTCGCAAGACGAAATTAATTCGTTCCGTGAGTTTTTTCGTCTAGCGAATTTTTCGTCTTGCGAAGCACGAAATCCCATAGGAATGCATTGAAATTCAATTAATGCGTTCCTATGGTCAAAAAAAGTCCAAACAAAGCCAAATTTGGTACAACAAGAGTTTATTAAGTGCTCTTTAAAGTCACACATACTGTAAAGAGCATTTCAAAAACTGAAGGAACAATAAATTCAAAAATTGAAGGAACAATAAAAATCACAAAAATGCAGAAAAAAACCACACAAGCTTCCAGATTCTTGCAAACCCCTCCTCAACTGTTCCCCCAGCCACCCACCACACAGAAATTCAAATCCAGAATTTTTTTAAAAAAACAGCAGAGTGGCCCAATGGTCATAGAAAATCATAAAAATTCAGAAAAAAACCACACAAGCTTCCAGATTCTTGCAAACCCCTCCTCAACTGTTCTCCCAGCCACCCACCACACAGAAATTCAAACCCAGAATTTTTTTTTAAAAAAAACAGCAAAGTGGCCCAATGGTCACAAAAAATCATAAAAATGCAGAAAAAACACACACAAGCTTCCAGATTCTTGCAAACCCCTCCCCAACACCAAGTCCTTGAATTCCAAACACCCCAACCCAAAATCCAAAAACCCCCAAAAAAGTTTTAAAAGTTTAACTTACCAAATGGCTGCAAAAGAAGTTTTTGGAAAAGCTTCAAAAATCGCCAAAGTCTTCAAAAACCTCAAAAAAAGGCTACCACACTGTGTGCTATGAGTTGCTCCTCGAAGTCAAGTCGCAACTGCACCTCTTCAAGCAATGCACCTTGGGTTTTAACGGTTTTACGAAAAAGGAAACAAACTTGCAAGACGTTTTCGTCTTGCAAAGCAAGCCCATAGGGAAATTCGTCTTGCGAAGCAGCTCAAAAACCGCAAAACCCTTTCGTCTAGCGAGTTTTTCGTCTTGCGAGGCATTCGTCTTGCGGGGCACCACTGTACTTTTATTGTGTCAATAGATCTCTCTCTGTGTGCGCATTTGTGTGTGTTTAATAGCTTTTTGATGATTCCCCCCTATGTTTTTAGGTGGTTTTATTTTATCTGGAAGCCTCCTTGAGTCCCAGCCTGGGGAAAAGGTGGGATATAACAACAACAACAACAACAACAACAACAACAATAACAACAACAACAACAACAACAGCTTCATATTTGCATTTTAGATGCCATATGCCCCAGTAGTACTGGAGGAGATAAACCAGAGCAAGTTTAGGTTTCCACAAACTTAAGTTTAGGTTTCCTTTTAGATCTATGTATTTGTTTCCTTTTAGATCTATGTATTGGTGGATGTTATTTTTGGAAGAAGGTTTTTTTTTTCCTGGAGTGAGATTTTCTTTTCCTTTCTTTCAATGACAATGGTGCGTTGGCTGTTTTTAGTTGAAACCCAAACAAGCAGAGACAGGGCATCAGTTACGAAGGCAGCCTTGAAGTTCCAAGTCGCATTTCCAGCTATACGGCACTGTGTGTTATTGTTATCATGATTGTCTTTTGGTGCTTGTATGTATGTAAATGAGATTAAAAATAAGATAAAGGCAGACATGGAAATATTAGTGACAAAACCAGGAAAAGACGAATAAGCTATTAGGAGTGATAAAACATAAAACAAGGGCTCTTTTTAATTTGACAGTGAACCAACTTGGAGAATTGTATGACTTAAGAATATTATTAACAATTCTTTTACCCCTTAAGCTTTGTTTTACCTGGGCCTTAAAAAAAAATATGTATCTAAGACTTGTCAGCAATTCCATGATTAAAAACTGTCTTAGGGCTTTTCTGTATAATTTAACAGCATGGTTATTTAGTATCTAGTAAGAACATAAGGTGAGCCTGCTGGATCAGGTCAATGGCCAATGGCCTAGCATCTTGGTCTCACAGTGGCTGACCAGATGTGTATAGGAAGTCCACAAGCAGGATTCAAGCACAAGATCACTCTCCCTTCCTGCAGTTCCCAGCAACTGGTATCCAGATATTACTGCCTCTAACTGTGGAAGCAGAGCACAGCCATCATGGCTGGTAGCCCCCGACAGACTCATTCTCCTCCATGAGTTTGTCTAATCCTCTTTCAAATCCATCTTGGTTGGTGGCCATCACTGCCTCCTGTGGGAGAGATTTCCATAGTTAAAATATGCACTGCAGAAATAAGTACTTTTTTTTCTGTCTGGCGACAGCTTTGCTCATCCTGCCAAGCAGGGCCCTGGACTTGCCCCACAAAGCTGCCCATGAAGGTGCCATCTTTATTTCCCTTCAGTCTTAACTAGGTGCTCTCTTAACCACCTTGATCTCTCCATTATGATGACAAATCGGATCCTCCTAATTGAGGGTCCACGTCGTGCGTGGGCCTCAGTACACCCCTACCAGTAGAGGGGTGGGGCTGGGACTTGAGCTGAGTGTGGCCCCACGATCACACCAGGGCCTTTTGGCCAATAAGGAAGAGGTGGCCTTTTTAGAAGTGGTGGCACGGCGTTGGAGCCTTACCTGGCTTTGCGCTGCCAAACATCCGTCCACCCACCCTTGTCATAGGACATAGGTATTCGCTTTGGCCTTGCTTTGGACTTCGGTTGGTCGCCTGTTTTGGAACAGGGGCCGGGTAGGAATTTTCCCCTCTTGGCAGATTGGCATTGGCCAGTTGGTTTTCGTCTACCTCTTAGCAATCGTCACAACTTTGTAAGGTTTGGCGGTTAGGCATTGGCTTAATGAGGTGGGGGAGATGAGGTGCGGCCATCACCTGCCCCTCCAGGAACAAGGGTATTCTGTTAAAGGAACCCATGGGTCTGGTCTTTGTCCGAAGTCTGTTTGAGGGGCTAGGGCCATGCCAGGACCCAGCGGTAACCCCGGCGTGAGCTTCAGTTGGTTGCCATCGGCAGAACTCCCTCTCTTGGTGGTTGACTTCTTGCGAGGCGGGCAGGAGTCAGATATAGTTTGCCAGTGCCTAAGCCCATACCACTCACATTGCTGTAATTAATAAAGTAGTGGCCTAAATTTGCCCACTAACATTTAAACTAAAAGACTGTTTCAATTTTTTATTATTATTCTGGGGGTGGTTCTGGGCCTTGATGCGCAAACAGGTGAAATGGAGATTCTAATATCCACTGTGACTATGGACATGGACCCAGTCTGGATTAATGCAGAATTTAAAAGGTGTGGTCGTGTTTGGGTAGCTCAGAAGATTAGGGAAATGGATGTTTGTGCTTAAAACAGTACTGTTACAACATTTTGGTTTAAACAAATAAGCAGAAAAAGAAAAAGATCTGTACCCTGTTATTCAGAACATTGAAGCTAACACATGCATTCAGAAGTTGAAAAACATAAATCACCTAGGCAGACAGATTTGTTCACACAATGTTGGACACAACCATCTATTTTCTACATAGCATTTTCTAAGTTGTGTGTGTAGTTTTTTACACAAACATTTGCTGTCTTCATCCAATATGTGGTACAAGGGGGGGAAATACTGCTGGATTCTTTTGAATGTGTAAACCAGTTCTGTCTCTGATGGCGAATGGTTAGTTATACATAAGAGGTTTGTGAGATGCACATCAGGAGAAAGGCTGGAAGTAATTTAATGTAGCTTACCGGATGTTATAATGTGGACATTCTTTTATGTGTCATCTCAGAAGTGAGAAATCTAGGATCACAAGTTGTCATTTTTTGAATTCCCTGAGATTTCTTTGGCATAACCCCCCCCCCCTGAGAATCCACTGATTACAAGACCCTGATGCAGGGTGATAGATTTTAGAATGAACATTAAAATTGATGGTGATTATAAATTTTGATTTTAAAAAATGAGGTGCTGGTATGCATATAATAATAAAAGTGCTGGGGGTGCCAGCAGAAAAAGAGTGCCCATACTCTGTACTGAAATAATAATAATAATAATATTATGATTATGATTATGATTATTATTATTATTATTATAAATAATAATAATAATAATACAAAAACATTTGTTTATGAATGGTGCTGGGGAAGGGGCTATGTAAAGGACCTCCTCCTCCTCCTCCTCCTCCTCTTCCTCCTCCTCCTCTTCCTCCTCCTTGAAGTTTATTGACATTTTCACAGTACAAAAAAGGAGCAAACTAATCTACCGGAAATAAAGAAAATAAACTAAAGAACGGAGGAACAGAAAAAGAAACGACAAGATCCTCCCTCATAACCATATCTTACCTCTCATCCCAGCTCTCCCAGCTCTCTTCTCTTAGCCTCTCACCCTGTGAGATCTCCCCTGCCTTTCTTCTGAGCAAACAAGAGGACACATTTGCTGATTTCTACTTTTAACTATGGTTCACTATGACGACTCTTCCCATGAAAAAGAGGACGTGTCCTAGAAAAAGAGGACATATTTGGTCCCTTCATCCTTGAAAATTATTTAGCTTTTCTTTAAGAGTTCTTAATAAGCTCCCAGGGTTTGTGTAAGGATAGCTGGCCAACCAGCAGGCTATTGCTGGCCTATGGCCTTCTCCCTCAATTTCCTGCTAGTTCCCTGTTTTGATATGTGTGTGTCTGGGGGTATGTGGACAACTGCCTTAAGAGAAGGAAATCTACATTTTGCTTGGGAAAGGGCCACAGTTCAATGGCAGATCGTCTGTTTTGCAAGCAGAAGGTCCCAGGTTCCATTCCCAATGGAATCTCCAGGTAGGACTCAGAATGAGAGTCCCAGGTACAGTGGTACCTCGGGTTACATATGCTTCAGGTTACATACGCTTCAGGTTACACACTCCACTAACCCATAAATATTGCTTCAGGTTAAGAACTTTGCTTCAGCATAAGAACAGAAATTGTGCTCCGGCGGCGGGGCAGCAGCAGGAGGCCCCATTAGCTAAAGTAGTGCTTC